TAATCACAATTCAATTACCAGCTCTCTCAAATAACGGCTCCCAGTTTGCAAACTCAGCTGATCGTTTTTAAAAGTTAAACATCCTTCATCTTAGTCTCCGTTAACAAATAAAGTGATTAAAAAACAGTAAGGAGATAAACTACAGATGTACCTCCTGCCTCTACATATTTTCAACAATTGCAGAAAAATATGAACGCTCTCACCAAAATAAACTCACGAGAAAAAATTGTTCTAATTCCGTCAGATTCATTTGTTTAGTTTAGGAAGGCAATTCTCTCAAAGTCTCTCGTGCATTGATTGGTCATCGTGCTTAAGAGTAGCTGCTGCTAACGCAACTTCCATTGATTGTCTATTGAGTTGAATTTTGGATTTTTTTTATCTTTTGCAGCCCAAATTGCTTTGACATTGATTACGAATGTAAACAATCACAATGTATTTTCATTTATCGACAATCAATTTGTAGTATGAGGTTTTTGGGATGATGTTGCAATTTGATGGTTCGTGTAGAGCTATGAATTCAAATGAAATGCTGATGATGGCGCATGAGAATTCAATTTAAGCATTTGATTAATTGATTAATAACGCTGATGGTATCTAAGTTAAGGTTTTGTTAGTAGTAGCTATGTCACCTATAAAGAAGATGTTGTATGTGTGTGTGTGTGCGTGAGTTGCGCGTGTGCTTGCATGCAATAAATATCGACAATGATTACGTTTCAGTTCGTGTGCTTGCATATCTGTTGCCGGTGATAATAATGTTGATGATGCTACTTTGTATGATGACACTGTTGGTGATGAAGATGATGGCAATGATGGTGATGGTGAGGAGGAAAAGGATGATGATGATAATGATGGTAGTGTTGACCAATATTTCCTCATGTGATAGTTAGTTACGACATCTTCACGTTATTGGGCTGATGAATGTACGCAACATGTAAAGGAAAGTTGGCGTCATCTATTTTAGTCGATGTTATTTTGGAGGGTTTGTTTCGAATTTTCCTGTTGAAAAATATTTGCCAGCATTTTGAGATTAGTTTGTTAATATTCGAAGTGAATCAAGTGTTTGTTGTGGATGTTTTTGTTGCTTCTTCATCGCGGACGTTGTTGTCTGAGAAAATCTGTTTCTGTTGAAAGGACAAAAAAGTTGATGTACATGTACTCATGAAATATTGAAAGAATTAATGTCAACTACGTGACGTCGAATAAGGATTTTTAGATTATGTTATTCAACTGTCATACACGTTAAATATTCAGCCATTTCATGCAATTTAGCCACAAATACCTTTGAATAAAAAAAAATGAAATAGTAAACAAAACACACATGAAACTATTTATAAATTGAAATGATAAAATCAAAAATATTTTCCGTGTTAATAAAATCACTAACGAACATTCCAGTTGTGCGTGCGCACGTTTCCCTCTATCCATCATCATCCATTCTTTCCCAATCCTAATATAAGCTCAGTTTTTCTTAACAAGATCAATATTAAATGCCTTCGCAAACATACATTCACCCATCATATATGCCACTATACAAGCTGGTCACATGCATGTATATGTATATATATATATATATATATACAATACACCCATATATATATATATATATATGTATATACATATATATATATATTGCTTATGTACAAATATACAGTGCGCAATGTGCTTACATACTTGCGCGTATGTTTTTAAATAAATCTATACGAATAGGAAAAGCAATCCTATAAATTTATATACATGTACATACATATTTTTATTATCCGTATATGTATATGTATTGTATATGTATGTATTCTGTACGTATGTATATATTGTATATATTACATTATATATGTTATATATATATATATATATATCAGTATGTGTGCATGTATATACTTTCATATATAAATATATATATATATATATATATTAACGCATGTATATATATGTATGTAATATAGACATAGATTTATAGATGTGCATATAAATTTGTTACACTGCTGTCTCCGGTATCAATCACATCCATCAATGATGTTTTATTTTTTTCCATCGTTCTTTCCAGTTAAACTCTGGACATTAGTGGTGGTGGTAGCGGATTAATTTATTGGTTTTTATTTTCCATATATTCTGGAAATAAATTAATTTTTTCAGTTTTCACGCATAGTCTAAAAAAACAGTTCATGATGAGCCACAAAGAGTAGAAACCTTTCTCACTGAAAACTGATTAACAGTTTGTTTGGAAATTGTAATTTTGAATTTGCAAAACTATCTAGTAGTTAAGTGGTTATTGTATGCAATTTAGAAAAAATTATAATTATCGTATCTTTTCAGACTTCTTCGGAATCTGTTGCAAACGTGCAGAAAAGTTCACTAGAAAGTGAACTATAAATAGGTTCTAACGAGCCTGATCCCACGCTTCATTCTGCATTCTAAATGATCACACATATCTGCTTTTGTAGTTATTTATTTACTGCATGTTTTGTTTTTTATACTGTCACGACAACCAAGAATGTACTTTTATAAGAGATGAAAATTAGGTTTCATATGCCATATGTGAATAATCAATCCGATGAACGTGTGCTTGACAATTGCTTCACAGTTGAGTTTGCAGTGGTGAACTGTCTGCCTTAAAAACTGTCTCAACTTCTAAAAAAGTTACATTTGTCATATATGTATGCATAAAAACCTGGTTTCATTAATGAAAAGTTAATAAAAATATTGGGAATGCTAATTTTGTTTATAATTCTAAAATTATTGGCCCTCACAGAATATTACCGCCGCAGAGCCAACTAGATGCACCTGTCACAAACAATTATCCAAATATTCGAAAAAGACTTATTGGCCAAATTAAATTGCAGATAACGATGTTTAAATGTTTTTCTTTTTATAAACTTTATACTTTTAACTTATTGGTGATGAGTCGCATCTATTAAACTTTTTGTTTTTTGTTGAGAACCCTGAGCTTTATAACTAAGAACATTTTTGGTTGAGAACCCTGAGTTTTATAACTAAAAACATTTTTAATGTCAAAGAGTTGAACATTTATAATTTTAAAGTTCCATTTTAAACAAAATTATATTTTCATATGTCTTGAGTTTGAAACAATTTTTGTTTGTTATATTTTGAAAAATTTTTCCTTCAGATGAGTTTTAGGCTACTGTAGGTTCAATTACAAATCAAAGTTCGATTAAGAAGTGATAACAAAGAAGTAATGTTGTTATTATTTATATACCAATAATAATAATTATAATTATTATTTTATTTTTTTAAAATTGCAATTTGACTTTGATATTACAAATAATTTTGACAAATGAAACAAATAGACAGTGCGGCTGAAATCGTCTTAACTGTTTCTTTGCGGTTTCTTCAAGTTGCGTATAGGTAAATTACAGAAGAGTTAAAATATTTTTTGTTTATAAACAGTCAAAATTTTCCAACGGATGATTTTTTCTCTTTGTTGCACACATTGATAAACTTATTTTCTCTAAATTGTTTCCACTTTCCAATGTTTCACTAGATCAATTGCCACTCTAAATAAATAACACCAAGATAGCTAGCTATCAACAAATTTTATCCACTTTTTTAAATATTTAATAAATACAAAAAATGACACCAAACTAAAAATAAAAAATTTTCAATTTAAAAATATTAAATAAAATTGGCCAAAATCCAAAAATATTTTCAAACAATTTAAATAACATCAATGCATTTTGCCAGTTAAACCAATTTCAACCATGGCATGGCGACCTTCATATTTCCTAATCTAAATTCTTTTGTACTTTTCCAGGCTTACTAAGCCGTTTGTTTGAAAGAACGAGGTCATGGCCGGCCATAAGATATAAAATATAAATAAATAACACCAAGATAGCTAGCTATCAACAAATTTTATCCACTTTTTTAAATATTTAATATTTTTATTTATAGTTTTTTACTTTAACAATTTTTTTGCCTTGGTGAACCACTCATAGCCAACCGTATTAATTAGTACATTTTACCGGCACTATTTGATGAAATTTCAAAGTTTATTCAATTTAAATGTTAATTAGAAAGTTTTAAAACAATTGGAACAAATTTTAATCAACTTTGTTTGAAACTAAAAAAATTTTATGAAAATTGATTCAACTTCTGTCAATTAAATTTTGGTCTATTTCAAAATAAATAAATATATGTGACAAAAATATACGATATAAATTTAAATAAAAAATATTAAATAAGATTGTTTTTAAAAAAAGCATCCCGAACAGGTCGTGGAGGACATAGAAAAAAAATAAAAACATCGTAACAAAACATTTTTTATAAAAATGCATTTTCAAAATATATCCAACTTTCCATATTTATTATTGAATGTCGAGACAGGCAAACGTCTAAACTCGACAAGCAGAAAAAATATTTTTGAGCTAGTATGTGCATAAGCGCGCGTGTGTATGTGCGTATATGTGTATTATGCGTGTTGGTGTGCGTGTATGTGTACGTGTGTGTGTATGTGTGTTTGCGTGTATGTGTGCGTGCGTGAGAGAGAGAGCTCGTACTTACACATTTATGTTTACTTATGGCATTTACGGTTCTTCGAGATTTTATTGTATCAGATCTTTTTCATCTACATTCCTCTTTCATGATATAATACAAGATGATGTTTGATTAAATAAGTTAGCACAACAATGCCAGTCGTGATATTAAATGCTCATGTCCGTGACTTTTTCCATTACTATGCAATAAAATAAATGTGTATAAATAAATAAATGGATGAATATAACAAATGTGAATCATTGTATACGTTGATAGCTTTGTGTTTCAAACAACTTTATTACAATTTAACGAGTTGGTTTATTTGTAGCAAATTGTATTAGTTGATTTTAGATTTATAAGCCGCGTTTTATAACCATAATACATAATACTTTAGCAAAATTTAAGTGGCAAACATTTTAAATGAACGTGGAAATATAACGAAAGTTATTTATTTTGACTTGTTTTTATTTGCCATCTGTCGCTAATATAAATCAGCAGGAGTTTTTAAGCTGACAATGCACAACATTCCGTTGAATATTCAAGAGTCACGATGCACCGGCCAGAACCGATGCGTTAGGTTGCGTAGGGAAGCATCTACCAACATGTCGCACGTGTGGTTCCCACTCCACACTGTGAACAAACTAAAATAGAAAAGTGAAGAATGAACAGCATTGATAGATGTTTTTTGAGCGACGCGCAATCCCATTAGAAACTATTCTGAACATTCAGTACACTGTAGAGCCCAGTAGAGTTTTTCTTCGACCCACGCGTGATACCAGGAGCAACAACAAACCAAACATCATTTCATTTCGGTGAAAGTTTTGCGCCGAAAGTTCAAAATCATTAAACCCTTTTCCTTTTCCATTCCATTCTTTAACTAAGTTGAAAGATAATGAAAACGTTAGTTCTTTTTTTATATTAATTTTGACTGTTGTTCAAACCTTGACATAATTTAATTTAAATTGTTGTTATTAATTTAACTAAAGATTGGGTGTAGATTCGAAATTTATTCACAATTTTAACTTCAATTCTCGTCTAATCTAACAAAGATTTGCAAATTAATTTAACTGTTATTATTTCTTCAATAACATTTAACTAACACTAGCTTTCACAAATTTGTTTCTGAAATGCTCACGAGGGGGCCAACAATTTTGATGGTGGGCCAACTTTTGGCTTATAATGTCGATTTTCCTTTCAAAAACACTACTTTTTTCGTTAAAACATCGACTTTTACTAACTTTTAATACAAACAGCACTCACAACGTGGGGAGGAGGCAGCGCCCTTCCGACCCCCTAGATCCGCCACTGGTTATAAAAAGAGCATATAATACATATCTTATTAAACCAACGAGTGGTTACTTGTTATGCTAGTATCAGTTCTGACTGACACTAATGTGCGTGTGCGTGTCAAGTTTTGTTTTCTATAACCACCCAAATCATATACATAATCATATATATATATATATATATATATATATATATATATATATATATGCCTAAATCCAATATATATATATATATATAATAAAAAATAATGCAACACATACGACATGAAAGGTTCATATTTAACAGCCTCTCGTTAAAAGAAATTCGCCTATTAGTAAAACATTATTATGTTAAATCCGTTGCCAGCTGTGCAAAACGTGTGTCGGTACGTAAGGTACATAATGTACAATTCGACAGGGAAGATTGAAATGGTTACTCAAAAAACTCGTGTTTTTGTTTTTTAACCTTGCGTTCAGTTTTTTAAATCTGTCACTTTAAAAAAAATTAGCATGTTTGGAATCATTTCAATTGTTATACGAAATATAACTTATAAATTTTTCACATTTGAAATATATGAAAATTTTAACTAATTTTATTATTATTTCATCATATGTATTGTAACGTTCATTTTATTTTAATGGCTGGCAATGAGTGGGATCAACTGAAGGACAGCATTATTGATTGATAGCAAGTTCTTCTCGCTTTGACATTTAACGTATTGTACTCTGGTCTCAAAGTCATTTTTTATGAGGAATTATTCGAGAAGCTAATCGTCGCTAATATTTTTTTTTTCATAAGTGCAACAAACATGTTCGACAAATTTTCATTTGAATATCAGAAAAAATTAACTAGAAAGAAGAACGGTAAATATTTTGAACTAAGCGAAAATGCACGGGTTAGCATGGATATAAAATATCCATTTATATATCCATATATATATCTATGCGGGTGAGCTATAATTGCGTAAAACATTTTTTAATTTGTTACCTACTACAGCAAATTTTTTTAACAAATTTAAAATTTATAAAATAAACAAATTATACGCTGTAAAAAATTGTTAATACATTGTTGACGGTATGTTAGCATCATCAAAAACCGACAAACCAATCTACTATAGTATTAATAAGGATGAAAAAACCTCTGTCTTACATAGATGCAACGAGTTCTGATGTCCCGTTAATGATGTTATGAAAACTTTTCAACAATTTCACTATCGATGAGGAGATATTTTAAATTTGTGTAACATTTATTATTTTGGAGTCTGCCTTTTCCTTTATCACGCAACTACGATAAAGGCAAAACTGCTCAAATTTCATTCAGACTTTTAAATTCTCTGCCAAAAAATGCCTTTCTACAGGAAGAACTTGCAAGCAAATAAGCAAGCAGCATGTTCGTGCAAACTGCAAACATTGCAACATGCACACCAAGTGGATGTTGTAATGTAACTATGGAGGCAACAGTTCACTTAGCCGGGGCTTCAATATTTTTGGTAAACATCGGCGTATAACATGACTCAAACCTGAGCTAACCTGACTACTACTTTTTCTTTTTACGAAGATAAAATTTCTTCCTGTTGACAAGAAGAAAAAAACTTTTTTACTTAATTTATTTTTCATTTGAACCCATGTTTGATAGCTACAATGTTTTTGTCATTTCCACTTTTGTAGCTTAAAATTCTGTTTTCATTCACGGATGTAAATTTAAGGTTCGCTAAATAATGTAAACAAATTTATTTTCGGATAAACAAATTTTTTATAAAAATTTCTTCTCAGACGTTGGAATTTTAATTTATAGACCCTAATAAAAATATATAAATTCAAAACTGTTTATGCAGTAAAAATTAAAAATTATTTACCAAAATCAAATTTAAAATTTAATAAAAAAAAACTCGTATTCAAACATAAGTAGGTACTCAACAAGACAAAAATGTAGCATTCGAATTGTTAAAAACATTAACATATATACTGTTTACTGTAGGCAAATTTAAAAAAAAAAGGAAAAAAGTTTAAAATAAATCAGTAAAAATATCCTTGTCCCAATATTTTTAAAGTAAAAATGTGCGTTTATTTTTAAATTTAAAACGTTTTATATGTTCGTGTGTGTGTGTGTGTGTGTGTGTGTGTGTGTGTGTGTGTGTGTGCGTGTGTGCGTGTGTGTGCGAATGTTGCCTGCCATACACAATTTCAAAGCTCATTTAATCAACATAAAAATTTGCTGTTGTTTAATATTGAAGTTAAGTAAAACAATCATTTTTCATCGCGAGCAGATTTTAAACGTTTAAGTATAAAGTTAGCAATCCAAAAAATTCCCTGCCTATTTTTTAAAACTCTGCATCAAATATCAGAACATATGCATTCAATAAAGATGAAATAAGAAGATGCCACACTGATGTACTGAAAATTTATTTCGTTATATTTGCTGCACCATTTTAGGCCTACGGAAAGTCATTAGCATTCATTCTCAAGGACTTTTTATGTCGTCACAATTCATTCCAGCGCCAGATCATCATCAGGTTGTTATTGAAGTCAGGCGAGTTAACTTGAAGATTTATTATTTATTGCTATTTGAATGATAATAATAATAATGTTTCATCTTTGAAATGTTATTTTAATGATTATTCTAAAAAATGTTTTAGCCCTCCAAAATATTTATAAGCATTTAATAAAATATTTCAATCACTTTGTGACATGAACATTTTTATTGCCCTATGAAATGAAAGTATTCCCCTCATCTCGAGTACTGCTCACAGGTTTGGAGTCCAGATCTGCAAAAGGACAAAGACATTCATGAACGGGTACCGCATAGAGCAACAAAGATGATCGAAGGAGTTGGAAAACTTGAATATAGAGATAGACTGAAAGAATGCGGATTAACAACACTAGAAAGGAGAAGATGCAGAGGAGATCTGGTTTAGACATATAAGTTAATAACTGGAAAAGAAGAAACGCCGTTCACCAGGTTCTTTCAACTAGAAAAAAGGAAAAGATAAAGAGGTCACAGATACAAGTTCTTCAAGATGAACGCCTGGAACGAGCTGGCGATGAAATTGTCTCAGTGGATTCAATCAACAACTTTAAAATCAAGCTAAGAGAGTTAGAATACTAAAACAATTATTTTGTAGGGGTTCTTACACAGATGATAGTCTACTGAACCACTTTAAACTTTGTTATTATTATTATTCCATATGAATGAAAAACCAACTTAATTGTTAAATAGTAATTTTTATAACAGTTAGGCTTATGCTCAAATTCATTCTTTCATTCAACCCTTAAAAACTTTTTCAACGATTTTGCCTTTATAAAAAGTTTAGTTTTGAAGTTTGAAACTTATCTCGAGTTTATTTAACCCGCATACTAAAGTTTAAATGATGATAAATAATACATGTCAGCTAGGTTGAAAGTTAGAACAGCTGTTTCGCGTGTTACTCATTTAAGTGGCATCATTTTTTAATGCTGTTACTTAACTTACTACAACGCTCATGAACAGTCCAGATTTAAACTTATGCACGCACACACACACACACACACACACACACATACACACACACACACACACACACACACACACACACACATATATATATATATATATATATATATATATATATATATATATATATATATATATATATATTTTAAGTTAACTAATGCCGAAGAGCATGCTGTAATTTTCATCAATAATTACATTTCTGACAGTCTTAATCTAATATATATATATATATATATATATATAATATATATATATATATATATATATATATATATACAATTTACTTATTTCTTCATATTAACATGCAAGTTTCATCTCAGGTTTGACAACGTTTTTACTGACACTGATATATTTTTTTTTCAATCTGTCAATAATTCACTTAATGGATGGAAAGGATGGAAAGAAACTTGTGAAACCTGTTACATCTGCGGTCTGCTCTGCAAGCTTCAGCTTATATAACATCTTCTTAATTCGATGCGTACAGAAGAGAAAAAAAAACAGAAGAAAGAAATATTTTTAATTTATTCTTATTCGTATGGTTTTGCTTGTACAACAAAAAATTTTTCAAGAATGATTCACAGTTTTGTACGTGAAGTGTGCACGGACTCCAAAACACACATGTGCATTCCAGCTTATAGCAACCGGTATTGATTATTCCTTGGTCATTTAGAGAGTTCTTTGTTATCGAATGACTTTGCTTTCTATGTTATTTATTGTAAACGTGGCCTCTCGAATTATAAATGAATATAAAAGCAACCTAATAAATAATGTTTCTTTAATGCTGTGCTAGTCACTTGGCTGCTGTTGGAAGGAATTGTTAGTAATGAGAGCTGGTGTTCTACTGTTTTTGAGGTCTTTCTTTAGTATTTTTCATGACAACAACTTTTTATCTGGTGTAATATCCGCCTTATTTTTATTATTAAAATAAAAAGTAACGCGATGTAGTAGAACTAGGCTTAACAAAGCAACAACAGGTGAAATTCTACGTGAAATGTTGAAACTTCAATTTGAATTTTTTTCGAGTTGGTGCTTTCCTTGTGATATCTGAGTTTTTTTTTGGATTTATGAATTACCGTGAACTTTAATTTCAGTAGCAAATATTTTTTAATAGCTCGACATAATTAATGCTTGTTTCATTCATAAACAAAAATTTCAGAAGTTTCAAATCGTATGCTGTACGATGGAAAAAAAATTGCCTTGAAATATGAAGTTTTGCAAAATGTCTAGTTTGTGCTGTTGGAAGAAGCATAAGATTTGAAAATTTTGGAAACGGGGGATAACCATTATCAAGTCGTTGCATTTGTTGCAATTATGGAGTTCTTCTTTATGGACTCGTTAGATCAATTTGTTTGCATTTGCATACAACATAGTTCACGCTTTAAATCGTTGATAGCTACATACAGTTGCATTCATTTCAAAGTTATTTATATGAAAATAATGTTTGCTGATATTAGGTAGGATTATAGTTTATATTTCATTTTGAATGCCAACAAATAATTAACAGGAAATAAAAACAAATGTAAAAGACAAGAAAGATAATTAAAAATCAAAATATTAATAAACGATAGTCACAAATTTTTAAATTTTTAGGAATACTTTTCTTTTTTCAACTTTTTCGTAAAAAATAATTAAAATAAAACACTTGAGAGAATAAAAAAGCCTAATAAATTTATTACCAAAAATTAGCAAATGCCTTAAAAATGAAGAGAATGTAGGAATCACCAAAAGTTTTTAAAACTAAAAATTTTAGACAGATTATTTCAAAGCTGATGGAACGTGACAGAGAATCAGATGAAATTAATTAGGTTGCTAATTCGAAAAATAGTTGATCTTCACACTTTGTAACGCTCGTAATGAAACCAATTAAATTTTCAAAAGCTGAATGATGAAAAATCCGAACAATGTGAACAATGTTATTCAGCTATTTATATCTCTTCTTCTTGTTGTACACTCCTTGACTGACATCTGGCTAGAAGAAGTCCAATTATCTTATTATATTTTATTCACCAGAACTGACCACCAACTGCATTTAAATGTGCCTGGGCAGGCTTGAAGTTACATTTGAAAATTAGCACCACTATAAATCATTCAAGAGAATTACGGAAAGAAAACTTGATAGTAATCAGAATGATGATCGGTGGTTGTGTATGTCACGCACGACAATTTTGATGACCTACTATCGCTCTAATGTACACACACACGTGCGCGCACGCACGCGCACACACACCATTCCATTCTTATAATGCTTGTACCCTGGATAGTAAACTAACTGTACAAAGACAATGCGGAAACATTAATTATAAGTTCACATAAATTAGAACGCTTATAATGTGTGCATGGTGTGTATGGAAAGATTTATTTTATAACAAACGAATGAGAGTAGGGAACTGCATCACATAGATATTTAAAACATCCTTACATCCTTAGATGCGTGAGAACTAAGTACGGTGACACTTATTATTATACAGAACCAAAGGAGGCTACGGATTGGCAGTCCTGTCCTAAAAGAAAAAAATTGGCAAAGATTAGTGCTAAATATAACAGTCTCAACAAGATCTCAACAAAAAATTAAATTTGCAGCTCTTATACATAGAGATAAAATTTTTTAAATCGGTATATAACACGTGGTTTTAGAAGTACGAAAACCTATTGAACAATATTAATGAAAACTTATTCAAAAAAGGACGTCAGTTTTTTCTATGAATAGCCATAAATATTATAAACTGCTTTTAGTTTCGTCTTTGTTGGCTTAATGAGTATATTTTTTATTTAAGCAGTAATTTTTACTTTTTTGATCTCCTCGCTTCTTTTCCACTAAAATTTGGATTAAAAAAAATATTGGCACCGGATTGACAAGTAAGTTTTTATAACACATTTGATTTGCACACATGTACAATGTACATCTTGTGCAAAATTTTCGTAAAAGGTTATAGACTTCATAGAGATGTACTCATCAAATGATATACCGATATGCCTGGTATTTATTGCATCCACCTGATTGAAATTTTTATGCCTGTACTTGTAACTACGATCTAATAGGTCAGATCTTTAGATACTTATTGTGGCCTATATTACTTGCTAACTATTAAACCTTAGTTCTAATGTCACACACATCAGCTAAATAACCATTCTTAATGTGCGTGGTTTCATTATTTGCTCGTGACATTTTGTACTTTCATGTATGCAAATAAACTTACCTGGCAAGCAAGAGAAACTGAGAAATTAAATTATTCAAAAGGATGTTCGTTCATTGAACTCGAATTTAAGCACTCAACCTACAATCACACACTAAGCATTAAATTTTCATGCGTTTGACGAACAGTTGGCACGTGATAACAGCTGAACATCTAAGAACTAAGTATCAGGATGTCAGCCACATGCCTTTGAAGTTACATTTTAAAAGTAAATTATTTAAGTTAATTAAATTTTTTAAATAAAATTTTTGTTATTAATGATTAGTGGTAGATTAGACGACGTTGATTTACGGGGGCCCAAAATTTGAAAAATTATGAATGTCAAAAGATTAATCAAATGTTAGTTATTGTGGCCAAAATTAGACTAACCACCATTTTTTGCTTACCACACCAATTTTCGGTTCATTCTGTCAAATTCTCTATTTAAAGAGTCCTCAAGTTTTCGGTTGTATAAATCTTTGATCTTCTGAGAGAGGTGATTACGGCTTTAGAAAACGTCATAAAACACGAAAAATTTTGGAAGAAATATGGCGGTTGTGATGTTTATTAAGAAAAAAAACAAATGAGTTGAAATGAATGAAGATGATGCCAAACAAGTTGGAACTTATTTGGACAAGCGAAATTATAATGTATCAATCGAACAAAAAATATAAATAGAATCAACGATAGCATCTCTATACGATGGGTTACATCGAGCAATTAATTTTCATTATAAAAACATTAAAAGAGATCTTGCGTTCTTACATGTGTGTGTGTGTGGTGTCTGTTTTGGTGTGTGCGTTGCATTTGCGTAGATGCGCGTAAGTGCGTGCGTGCCTAAATGTTCGTTAAGAGATGATATTGCTAAATGATTCCAAACT